GGATAACCACTAAAAACCCTCACAACTCTTTGTAAATGAAGAAATTGATGCTTATAGGGAGTCTGTGTCATTTAAATTCCTGTTCTTAAAAAGTTTCAAATAGTGGCTACAACTAGATCCGGGCTATAGCCTCTCCCCTACATGGGCCCTGCTTTGTAATATCTTTCCTAGGCCATCAGAAATTGGTAGGTCTGGGATTGCATTTCATGTTATCAGGGGAAAGATGTAGTAGTGAAGGCAGAGTCTGGGAAATGGAAGCTGTTAGTTGCAGCATTGCTGGCAACCACAGGACGATAGGTGAGCGAATATGCACAATTCATTTCTTTCTCTAGCTCCCTTGATCTTTAATTTGGTGCTTGACTTCAATATCCCTTATTAATAAATAGTTTGGCTACATATTATGTTCTAGCCATTCATTAATACCGAAAATGAGGGCAAAACTATTAAAGCTTTAGAACAGGAAGGGGACTTAGGAATGCCTTCTGTATTCTTGAATATACTGTAGTGACTTCACGGTTGTGTCTATTCTGAGAAGGCTGAAGTGTTTTTTCCTTTTACTGGCTATGCAGAAGCATGGAGTAGACCTGATACAGACAGGAGAGGAGGGCGGAACGTGTATAATATTTCTTTTCTTGTAAGAATCATAGCACACCTAGGAAAACCTCCAGACATACAGTATACCTCAGATATTTGCAGAATGCGAAGCCATGCAGCCATAGTTTGTAGTTTCTCAGTTTCCCTATGCACCTCTGACTGTCCTGGAACTCCCTGTAGACTAGCAGGCCTCTTACTCACAGATCTGCCGCCTCTGTCTCCCAAGTGTGCCACCAATACCTACTATAGTTTCTTGATTTTTAAGAAATGTAAGAGACTGGCCTGAAAAGAGCAAGGGCAGAATGCTCTTCCAAAGTCACCGGGTTTGTTTCCCAGCGTCTGTTGGTACCACTTGTACCATCACCTCCAGGAGAGATCCATTGCCTGTGTCTTCAGTAGACACCTGTGTGTGTGTGTGTGTGTGTGTGTGTGTGTGTTTATAATTCTGAAACCATCCCAGATCAACAAGGAAATGCAAGATCTGTAACAGAAATCCCCTTAGGTTATTCCTTGGTAAAGCGTACATTCATTGTGGACTGAGTTGAAGGAAAATTTTTCATCTATTGATTCATCTAGTCCCAGTGGTGAATCCACTTAGTAATGCTGCAGAGCCCATCTTTTTTGTTTTTCAAGTCATGGTTTTTCTGTGTAACAGCCTGGGCTGTCCTGAACTGGCTATGTAGACCAGGCTGGCCTCAGACGCACAGAGATTTGCTTGCCAGTGCCTCTGCCTCTGGATTGCTAGGATTAAAGGTATGAGCCACTACTGCTTGGCATATGATGCTCATTTTTATGATGAGGAAAGTGAGGCACAGGAAAATTGTCATGCAGAATTACACAGTGAATGGCAAACCTGGGATTCCATTGTGGATAATATGGCTGTAGATGGGAACTGAGCCCATGGTGTCCCACATAGGAGTGAAAAACTTGTGTTCTTTAAATTGTTGAGTGCAGCTAGGCTTAGTCTAGCACATCTGACCCTGGCACTTGGATGGTAGAGGCTGGAGGATCAGGAATTCACTCTCATCTGCCCTTTGCTACCTAATTTTGGACCAGCTTAGGCTACATGAAACCTTGCCTCCAAAAAATGTTGTGCTGCTTTTATAAAATGATAAATACTATGAAAAATGCATGTGATTGATTGAGTGGATATATTATTACTGTCAAATGTAAACATTCCCAAATGTTTGTTTTTAATCTTTCAATATCTTATCTTCCCCATAGACGATCACTAGGAGGTAGACCAGTAGTAGTATGTCGTGTGGGCTGCACTTGGAGTTACTGCTTTGTGCTAAACTGAGGGATTTTTTATACTTCAAATGAAGATGAAGGGTTAAGTGATGTTTCCTAAAGAGGAAGCATCAGTTATTTATGGTGGGAAGGTAGTGGTAGACACACTTGAGTGTCTTGCAGGGCTATTCCTCATTTCCAGAGGAGATGAAAAATGCATCTTTACATTGCAAGTTGGCGACAGATTTGAATATTTAAAACCACAAACAAGCATGCCAGGGTTTTGGGAACTGGTGAAAATCTGATGTGATCAGAGTGAGAATTAAAATTTTATTGTATTTATTATAGAAAATACCATAATATGGAAACACTTAGCCATGTAATATATTAGGACTATGACACTTGGTAATATTAATTTGTTGACATGTTTTAATATTTACAGAATATTGACAAGGCTGAGTTGTTTTTTGCAGATAGTTAGATTTATCCTGCTCTTGTTGGCTTTTTCCTTTTCAACTTTCTGCTGTTGGTACAGTGGCTCACTAAATCTGGAATCTCTAAAGTATAGGACTGAACCCCTTATTTGACATATGTAACTTCAACTGATCGAAAATCAAGTTTACTCTTTTGCACTTGAACTGAAGGTATTTTTCTCTTTCTTTACTTGCCATGGGTATTTAATCTCTCTGACCTGATTGTTAGTGGCTACATAGCCAGTTGGAAGCCAGCCTCAGTCGGGTACATTGATTTCTAACGCAGGGCTTCACAGAGTTGCAAAGACTGACCTCAAAATGGCTAGGCAGCATAGGCTGACTTGGAACATTGAGTCTTGATTTAGCCTCTTTAAGTCCTTCAATTACAGATACAAACCACTATACCCGTTTTAAGAAGTTTCTTTTTAAATATATAGATGTAATGCAGTTCTGCCATCTGTACTCTGAAGGAAGCAACCTTAAAAATCAGTGTGTTTAGCTGTATGTCCTGGCATATGATTTTAATCCTAGCACTCAGGATGCTATGGCTACATAGTGCCAGGGCTACACAGTGAGACCCTGTTTCAAAAAAATAAAATTAGGGCTGTTAGGAGCACTGGCTGCTCTTCCAGATGACCTTGGTTTGGTTCCCAGCACCATCTGTAACTAGTCCTAGGGAGTCTGCTTTCTGTGAACATGGCACAATACATATGCACATGTGTGTGTAGGCTAAACACTTTGTAAAGTGTTCCTAGGATAAGACTTTTCTCTGGTTTCTGAAAGCTGAATCCTCTTCTCCCTCCAGTGGATTCAGTTTCCCTAACATGGAAGGAAGCCTCTGGTGCTTTGACTCCGTGTTCTCTGTTAGAGCGCCCAGAATCACACTATGAGTGTGGCATTCTGAGAGTCACACCAGGACCAATGATCCAAACATAGTTTTTGTGGCTCACTTTTCTGCCACTCATTTTCTCTGGTGCACTGTCACCCAAGGTCCAAAGGCCAATCTTCCTTCCTTCCTTCCTTCCTTCCTTCCTTCCTTCCTTCCTTCCTTCCTTCCTTCCTATTCTAGCTATCTTTATTTTTTAAATAATAACTCACTGAAATCCTTAGTTTCTCTGGACAGCATTGTCTAGTTTTAACCTAGTCAGGGAGTAAATGGCATTCAGTAGTTATGGCCTATTAAGACTTAAATTGGCTAATGAGAAACTAAGAATTTTGTTTTAAGGAGTTGACTACATGTAAATTTTAAGGCCTTGATTATTTTACATAAATGTTTAAATTTATTCAGTTACTAAGTTCATAATTTCTGGTTAAGGACTTTGGCCATTAGTAATCCAGTTGTGAACAAAATCAAGCAAAGTTGATGGTGAGTGACTTCTATGTATTTTCTATATTTACTTATTTGTGCATACATAGGGGGAGCATGGATGTCAGGAGGAGAAATTGCAGGAACCAGTTGTCTCCGAACTCAGGTTGACAAACTTGATAGTAAATACCTTTACCTGTGGAACAGTCTGACCAGCCTCTTATTTTTAAATAGTGTTTGTTTATTTATTCTCGTATTGTGTGTGTGTGTGTGTGTGTGTCTGTCTGTCTGTCTGTCTGTCTGTCTGTCTGTCTGTCTGTCTGTGCTCACACCTGTGTATCTTAAACTCAAAGCTAGCTGGCCCACAACCCCTGGGTGATCCTGTCTCTTGCTTCTCATCTCACTATAACATTGAACTCAGAGATGCTTGCTGATGTGTCTGGACTCAGAATAAAGTTTCTGTACATGCTATAGGCTGATTTAAGAAAAAGCACCCTTTAAATTTAGTATTTATTGCTTCTAGTTGAGGTCTTTTAGAGCATACATCTCTTTTTGTGGGTCAATTGAAACCTGGAAGTTAGAATGGGAGTATAATTCAGTGTTGCTTCATACATACAAGGCCTTAGGTTTGATACCCAATGCTGAAGAATAAAGTAAATAAATATTGAAGCTGAGGGGCCGGAGAGATGGCCTCAGCAGTTAAGAGTACTGGCTCCTAGAGGATCTGGGTTCAATTCCCAGCCCCCACAAGGCAGCTCACAACTGTTTGTAACTCCAGTTCCAGGGGTCCAGTACTGCCACACAGACATACATGCAAGCAAGATACCAGTGCATATAAAACTAAAAATAAATTCTAAAAGAGAATGAAAAGCTAAGAGCTGGCTGCTGTTCTTCCAGAGGATCTGGGTTCTTTTCCACCTCTCATGGCTGCCATTAGTAGCTTGTTGTGGCCTTAAGTCCAGGGTGTATTCTTTTATTTTGGTTTTTTGAGAAAGGGTTCTCTGTATTGTTTTGAAGTTGGTCCTGGAACTTGCTCTGTAGACAAGGCTGGTCTCCAACTCACAGAGATCCGTCTGCCTCTGCCTCCCAAGTGCTGGGATTAAAGGCATGGGCCACCAACGCCCGGCTTCCATTGACCTTTATGTATAATCTTTGATCTAAAAAATGTGCAAATAAGAGGGTATCTATGATTTTATAAAAACACTTACATTTGAGAAGCCTTTCTGTTTTAATGAAGAGCTAGAGTGGTCTGATTGTTCCAGGGGTTGGACTGTAGTCAGTCTTGTGAAATTATAAATTATCTGCTCTTATTCATTGTATAAAATTGTTTATAGTATTGCTGTCGTGGTTTTGTTTAAGAAATATTTTTAGAATCCTACTTTATTATTTTCTACTAGGAAACCACCCCTACTACTAATCCCCCACCTGCGGAAGAGGAAAAAACAGAATCTAATCAGGAGGTTGCCAACCCAGAGCACTATATCAAACACCCTCTACAGAACAGGTAAGCTGCTTTCTGATCAGGTAAGAAGGGTGTGGTGCACAAGATGGGTTTAAACAGAACAGTAAGGTTGACTCCTTTTAGATAATATATGCTCAGGTATCAGCCCACAGAGGATTTTCATTGAGAAGGAAGGAATGCCTCTGAAAGATACACAGGAACATGGCTTATTCAAGGTTTCCCAGTCTCCCTTGGGCTGGACAGTTAAATAACTCTTTGTTGCCTTTCAAAGTTTTTAGGAAAGTGTAGGTGGAGGAATGAAAGGTTGGAGCATTTGAAAAGAGGACAGGACATATAGGAAAGGAAGCAAGAGTGGGAAACAAGGCAGACCGAGAAAGGGGAGATGGGGTGTGAAGGCTAGGGGAGGGTGGCACATCGAGGCCAGACGGAGGAGGGGAACTAAGAAGGCAGGCTTTCATGATCAGCAGTGCAACGGGAAGATGGCGGTGGGTATATGGTTTTCTCTAGGAGGAGGGGAACTAAGAAGGCAGGCTTTCATGATCAACAGTGCAACGGGAAGATGGCGGTGGGTATATGGTTTTCTCTAGGAGGAGGGGAACTAAGAAGGCAGGCTTTCATGATCAACAGTGCAACGGGAAGATGGGCGGTGGGTATATGGTTTTCTCTAGCTTTGCCTCTAGCTTTCTATAGTCACTGGGTTTTCAGATTATGTAATATAGAAAATCATTTTTACTTTACTGATGGTGGGAAGAAAATGGAAACTTGAAATGTACATGAACCTGAAAAAAAAGTATAACCGGAACTAACTTCTGAGGGTCCAGTTCTGTTTTTTTTTATTTTTTTTTTTTTTACGGGACAGGGTTTCTCTGTATTGTTTTGGAGGCTGTCTCCTTTCTGGTTTCTATATTTGCTTGCCAAAGGCAGTTTTTTTTTTTTTTTTTTTTTTTTTTGGTTTTGGTTTTGGTTTTTCGAGACAGGGTTTCTCTGTGGCTTTGGAGGCTGTCCTAGAACTAGCTCTTGTAGACCAGGCTGGCCTCGAACTCACAGAGATCCACCTGCCTCTGCCTCCCAAGTGCTTTAGGATTAGAGGCGTGTGCCACCAACGCCCGGCTTTTTTTTTTTTTTTTTTATACTGAGTTTACTTGAAAGCCTGCCCGCCTGTTTGTAATTAATTGTCATATTTGAACATCAAGGGGACAGCATAGTTTTTGCTCTTTTCATGGTATTTTATGAACACTAACTCTAAGGGTTGATGCTCTGTGGTTACAGGCACGAGCTGCTCCTGCAGAGGACTCTGGTTCCTGACACAGGACTCAGATGGCTTTTCCCGGCCATGAGTAGCTCCAGTTTCATGGGATCCGGTCCCGCCTTCACTTGTCCCTGGACACTGTGTGTGCACATGGTGCACCTACACACACACTCACGTACACAGCTAGTCTACTTTTAGCTGTCTGAACACAGTCACTCCTTTGCTGTCTATGGAGGGGGGCAATCCAGCACACCTACTTACTGCAGAGAATGTGAGATCATGGGAAAGTGTAAACAGATATACTCAGTCCTTGTGAGAACTCTTGAGAGATTACAATTTCTCTATAAGTTCTCATTGTTTTTTTTTTTTTTTGGTTTTTCGAGACAGGGTTTCTTTGTGGCTTTGGAGGCTGTCCTGGAACTAGCTCTTGTAGACCAGGCTGGCCTCGAACTCACAGAGATCCGCCTGCCTCTGCCTCCCGAGTGCTGGGATTAAAGGCGTGCGCCACCAACGCCCGGCTCATTGTTTTTTTTTTTTTTTGTAAAGTATGCCAGTTGGGAAAATACTGTAAATGCTTTTTGATTTACCATAAATTTTGTAGTTTGTATATTTTCTTAGAAACCCTTAACAATTACAGGATTTAGTACCAAACGGGGGATAATGTGTATGAAGTGTTTGCTTTCTCAGGTAGTATGTTTGCCTTCCCTCCCTTTGTTAAAGGAAGAGTGCACTACAGAGCTGTTGGATGTGCCCACGTACATGAGCTGTTTGTTGTGCCCAGATGGGTGCCAGTCTGGAGTGGGAAGTCAGCTTTTCCTACTGTGTACTACATTTCAGAACACTTTCATCTTCTTTTGGTCACTAGTGGTGTTCTCTTCGAGAGTCTGTTCTGTGTTTTTATTTTTCCCTTTTGGATTATCTTTCAAGTGGGTTTTCAGGTATTCAAATAGTAGGAATATTAAATCAGTAATGCAGTTCCAACTTACTTTTATTAGGTTCTTTGGAATTGTATGGGATTTAAAAGTATTTTTTTTTGCCGGGCGGTGGTGGCACACGCCTTTAATTCCAGCACTCGGGAGGCAGAGGCAGGCGGATCTCTGTGAGTTCGAGGCTGGGCTGGACCGATAGCTTCCGAAACAATACAGAGAAACCCTGTCTCGTAAAAACCAAAAAAAAAAAAAAGTATTTTATTTTAATATTTATATAGGCAAATACCATTTTCCCCATGACTTCTGGATTTCCTGTCAGTCTTAGTACAACTTTACATGTAGTAATTTAAAAAATAAACATGCTAATGTCTTGTATAATTGTATCATTTTGTTTTGTTTTTAATAATTCCTGAAATATTTGATCTTGGACCCTTTTTCACTTTAAAAAAGTATTCATTGTTTTTATTTTATGGGTATGAGTGTGTTGCCTCCAAGTGTACCATGTGTCTCCAATGTAAATGGAGGCCAGAAGGTGTCAAATTCCTTGGAGTTGGAGTTAAACACACTGGTTGTGAACTACCATGGTGCTAGGAACCAAACATGTTTCTTCTGCAAGTGCTGTTAACCACTGAGCTCTCTCTCTAGCCCCTCCTTTTAAACTCTTTGCTTTTGTGTTGTTGATTTTGTTTTTGAGACAGGGTTTTTCTGTAGACCAGGCTGGCCTCAAAACTCCTGCATGTTGGGACTAAAGCCCGGCTCCTTTTAAACTCTTAAAACAAAACAGTAGTACTGAGTTGATTTTTTTGTGTTCCTGCCTTACTCTGTTCTTACAGTAATGCTAAGACAGGACATTGGAATTCATTGGATTAGGTCTTTTACTCGTGTATGATTCTTGTAGGTTGCTTTATTGATTGCTCTGAGAATAGTTCAGTAATTTATGCAGATCTTAAAAATGTGGACACTTTTCATTTAGAGCATCAAGCATCACCTAAACTCATCAGAAATACCATTGTTTTGTGAAATTGTCAAGCTTACTGTAACAACTGCAAGCTTTCCATAATTACAATTATATCCTGATCACTCATAATTTTAAGTCATAGGTTTATTCTTTTTTCCCCAAGAAATAAGTGTAGTGTATCAGTCTTTCAAGTGAAATTGGAAAAAAAAGATTCATTTATATCCCCATTAAAACAGCATTTTGTTAAACGGTAGATGTGTTTTACATGTAGACTATGTAAAGGACATGTAAACAGGAAGGACTTTAGTGAGAAAGGTGCTTACACTGTAGACCAGCATAGCTCGGAACTCACTAGGTACCCAGGAATGCTTTTAGTTGTCCTGCGTTAGTCATTGAGTTTTTGGATTGAGTTCAGGTTTGAGCCACCACGTGCAGCTGCGATCATAAGGTTTGTAGGTTTGGTTGTACAACTTGTGAGGTTGCAAGTCCCTAACTTAAAATGATGACACTACCTCACACAGTGGAGACGCTTTGAGTGGTTTTCGGTGGTGTCATACAGGGTAAATCTGTTCATGATGGGTACAAGTGATTATCCCCTAGATGTTTAGGTTGCTAGAGTCTAAGGATGTGAAAGCTAAGGGTACAGAGAGATGACTGTATTATATTTCAGAGAGTAATTTATTACCATTAGAAACTGTGTGTGTGTGTGTGTCTGTCTGTCTGTCTGTCTTCTATAAACTATGTTAGGAAGAAAACTTGGAGCCAGAAGTATATACAACTATATAGAAATTGTCATGCATTATTTTAAAGCATATATGTAGATCTGTTTAACTCAGTTTGTTCATTTTTTTAGTGTTTCACTACAGCATCACATGAAATGCTTTCCCCATTCTCTGCACCCCCTCTTTCCTTTCAGCTAATTACTGCTGTTGTATCTTTAAATAATTGTACTCTTGACTGCTATCAGTATTTTGCAGAGAATCTGTTATGTAGTTGATACACATTGCTAATTATTTTTAATCATGGCGAGGATCAAATCAAAATCTAGGGCCTGACATACACTAATAAAGAACTGTTTTTCCAACTAAAATGCATCTACTCTTTAAATGAAAACTAGTTTGCTTTTGTAATAGAAACTGCCAATTTAAATTGTTCTTCTAAATGTATATAGTAAAGTACAAACAACAATTTACCTTACCTTTGTGTTTTATTTTTTAAACTTTAGATTTATTTTTATGAGTATGGGTGGTTTTTGGCTGCCATGTATGATTGTGTACCATGTGTATCTACTGCTTGTGCAGGCCAGAAGAGGGCATCAGATCCTGGAACTAGTTACAGACAGCTGTGAACCACCCACCATGTGGGTACTGGGAATTATACCTGGGTCCTCTGCAAGAATAGCCAGAGCTTTCAACCACTGAGCCACCTGGCCAGCCTCTCTTAACCTTTTAAAACCTACAACTTAGTAATGTTAATTGCATTCACGTTATGTTGAAAAAAACAAACAAACCCTATTTTCATCTTTTAAAACATGTATTTTAGAGCCACGTAGCATATACCTTTAGTCCTAGCTTGGAGGAAGGCAGTGGTTTCTGAGTTCAAGGCCAGTCTGGTCTACAAAGAATTTTATAACAGCCAAGGTTACACATAGAAACCCTGTGTCAGACCTCCTTCAGCTTCCCCAGCGTATTTATGAATATATTTATTTTTGTGTAAGTCTACATATGTAAAGTTTTCCCCGTGCCTCAGCACAAGTAAAATGAGGTCATAGGACAAACCAGAATTGGCTCTTACATGGGTTCCAGTTGTCCAGACTCAGTCACCAGGCTGACTGTAAGTGCATGTGCCTGCTGTGCTATTTCCTCGGACCTGTTTTTACCACCTTTTTTTTTTTCCCCTCTCGTTTTTTTGAGATGGTTTCTCTGTGTAGCCCTGGTTCTCCTGGAACTCGCTCTGTAGACCAAGCTGGCCTTGAACTCACAGATCTTCCTGCCTCTATCTCCCGAGTGCCGGGATTAAAGGTGTGTGCCACCAACGCCTGGCCATTTATACCTTTTGACTGGTAAATAATTCTGCTATGAATGTAGATAGACCAACTATTTTTTTTACATTGGCTTTTTATTTTTAGGTGGGCACTCTGGTTTTTTAAAAATGATAAAAGCAAAACTTGGCAAGCAAACCTTCGATTGATCTCTAAGTTTGATACTGTTGAAGACTTTTGGGCGTAAGTAATTTTATTTGAAAATACTTATACTTTAGAGCTGTATAATTTTTTTATTATTCATGAAGTGAAAGATGAAGTTCATTTGTCTCTTCACAAATGTTTGACTTTATTATGCTTTGCTAGATTGTTTAATATATGCAAAAGCCCTATGCTTGATCTCCAGCACAAAACGTTTCATTAGCGTCAACCTCTGGGTTTGAATAGTCTCTATTCCTCATCTTCCTGTGAGAATCCTCTCTTATTGTCTTGATTTTTTGACATTGTTAGAATCTGTTCCCCTGTGCAGTCACCTTGATATGTTTGTGTCATACCTGTACTGGAGCCGGCTCTGCAACAGTTTTCAGTGTGATACTTGGAATTCCCCTGGTTAGGATATCAAAATTAAAATGCAGAGACATGTCAAGAGAATGATGGTGCCTATAGTGTTGGTTCATCTATTTTATTGTAATTTGTGAAAGAAATAGTAATTGAATCTTTTCTTGACTTGTAATTGTAAACTTTTCCAAGATTTAAAAATAGAATAGATACTGAAATTCTTTGAAAGTGTTGTGTTTGTTTTCAGACAGGATGTAGCTGAGCTATTGAAGATGTTCTAGCATTCTAGAACTTGCCTTTACCTCCCAAGGCATAGCAGACATATATCACCTATGCCTTAGAAGTTTTGAATTGATTGTTTTGAAACAGTGTTTTCTAAGAATCACATTCAGAAGCTTAGATAGGCAAATGCTATACCATTGAGCTGCATCCCAGCTCCTCCCAAGTTAATTTGTTTTGACTTCCTTGGAGAATATATAAGGAGACACTGTTGGAAGATATAAAAGACATAATTTTAAAGAGTCTGAGTTACCTCGAAGTTACCCAGTCTTGTATATTTATATTAGGTTCATATACAAGTTGAATTTAATGCTTCTTAACATTTTCATGTAACTCTATCTACATGTGTACGTTCACACATGAGAATGGATTGTAGTTATAATTCATAGCTGTATATCTTTTCAGGGTCTCAGTCAGTATTCAGTGTGTTTCCAATGCTTGGTGTGTAAATAGACATTTGGTATACTTTGCATCATTGAAAAAGGCAAAGTATAGAAGAAATAAAACTGTTGAATTCACTTGTTTTCTACTAAGAACATTCTGCTATTTTCTTTTTATGATACAAATTTATTTTAAGTTCTGCTAATTAATAGAGGTAGTTGTCTAGTTAATTGGAGTTCTTGAAAGCATGAAGTGGTTTTTGTACTCTAATTGTTCATTGTAAGATTCTTAAATAACTCTGAAGCCTTCTTTACACATACAGAAGGAAGCCCTCGAATTTCCTACTAAGGAAAAAAAAGAAGGGTCTTGAACCCCATCCATCTCCAGTCATATTTGCACCTGATCTGGATTGTTTGGCTTTGCCAAGTTGATATAATTGTGGTGTTTCTAACTTTTCCTCTAATAGAGCACAACTAAGTTAGAGTAAGAGAAATCATTGGGTTCTGTAACAGATTGTTAAGATTCTTGATGGTTGTGGTTTGGGAATAGTGAACCATTAGATGCCTTATACATAATAATGTTATCTTATTCTTACAGAACTATACTGTGTAGTGTGATAAGAAAGATGTAGAATTCTTTCTTAAAATTGTCTGAAATATTCCTAGACAAAATTAAAGTCAGCACAGGAGAACATGCCTCTCATAGTTGAAGGTTTGCAGATGTGTAGCTAACATAATCTCTGCCTTCTGATGTTGGAGATAGGCAAATACTGTTACCAACGTTTAAATTAATTTTACTCTTAAGACACTTTAAGAGGGGCTGGAGAAATGGCTCAGAGGTTAAGAGCATTAATTGCTCTTCCAAAGGTCCTGAGTTAAATTCCCAGCAACCACATGGTGGCTCACAACCATCTATGATGAGATCTGGTGCCCTCTTCTGTCCTGCAGGCAAACACATAATCAGAACACAGCATACATAATAAGCAAATAAATAAATAAAATCTTAAAAAAAGAGAGAGAGACTACAAGAGATAAGTGATACAGTCTTCTGCCTTTAGGCAGTGAGCATCAATAATGTTCCATGGCTTAAGTATTTGGGAAGTAGCTCAGAAATACAGGTCCCACTGTTGGTATATGGCTGTGAGCCTGATATGTACCCGAGCTCCTCAACCTCCAGGTGCTGACTGGCCTGGAACCATTTTTGGAGCTTATGCTTGGACACTTGCTGGAGAGATAATGTTGATTGAATCATGCCATGCATGTATAAATTGAGTTAAAAAATATTTTTGTCGGAATAATGCCATTTCAGATAGTTTTTTTGTAGTAATTTACATTATAAATTTCCTTGAATGCAATCATTATTTAGACTTGTTTTGTCCATTTCAAAAATTAAGAGTCAAAAAGAAAAATATACGTAAACTTTAATCTATTTCATGTTTTCCAAGTGTGTGTGTGTGTGTGTGTGTGTGTGAGAGAGAGAGAGAGAGAGAGAGAGAGAGAGAGAGAGAGAGGGAGAGAGAGAGAGGGAGAGAGAGAGAGAGCTCTCAAATCCTGCATTGCATACTATGTTCTTAACTCTGATTTTCTTTTACCTAGTTTATACAACCATATCCAGTTGTCTAGTAATTTAATGCCTGGCTGTGACTACTCACTTTTTAAGGTATGCCTAGTCAATGATTGTTTGTATTTCTTACAGGATCAGATCATTCATGTATTTGCAAAAACTAGCTACAGCTTCAGGCAGTTGGCTTTGCCAGGCTTGAGTGTGTAGCAGTCTGGTGTGACTTAATTACTCATGGGCACATCTTGGGATTGACTTTGAGCTTTGCTAATCCTGTACAGCCTTTCCTGGATATACTTGAGTAGTCTGACTTCTATCAGCTAATTTTAAAACTGTAAGATATTTATAAATAGACCTTTGTCAGGTGCTAGGATAGGACATTAGTTGGCTGGTATACATAATTTTTAATGTAGCTTCTAAATGGTGTCTGCTTGTTGGGAATTTTCAGGCGCTTCAGATGAAGTGGAACCTCAGGATGTGACACTTGGTGCAGTGGTACTCTGCTGTGGTCGCATGCCCGTGGCACATAATTTTTGTGTGCCAGCCGCAGGGGTGTAGGGGATAAAAGTGTTGTTGCTTGCTGATTCTGATTGAGTTGTTATTTTGTAGGATGGTATTGAGCCTATGTGGGAAGACGAGAAGAACAAACGGGGAGGACGATGGCTGATTACACTGAACAAACAGCAGAGACGAAGTGATCTCGATCGCTTTTGGCTAGAGACAGTAAGGCTTTGAAATTACAGACCAGCTTCAGGATGGGTTTTCTTTGGCTCACTCAGCCTACCTGTTCTAGAAAAATCCTTGTGGTGCTTACGTGGCATTATATACACTAAAATTGAAACAAAATAGAAATTAGTATCATAAGGATGATATGCAAATACCTGAAGCATTTTATGGTGTTTTTTGTTTTTTTTGTTTTTTTTTTGATGTAACTGGAAAATGTCGTGTTAAGTAAATTAAGTCAGACTCTGAAAGAAACATGTCATGTTTTCTCTCATATGTAGAACTTAGGTTTAAAATACAGCTACTAACAGGGCCAGTGAGGGTTGGAAATAATAGGAAAGTACAAGGATGGGCTAAAGGCGTAGAAAAGGGAAGCACTGCATGCGGATGGGGAATCTGGGGAATCAGCTGTGTTAAGTGGAAACGAGAAGATCCGATGACACCGTATGCAGATGTGTAGTGAAACCACCACCTTCAATACTAATCTAGAAATATCTATAAAATAAAAACACATTTAGAAAAATTAAGGGAAGTTTAGTTGTGCCTAGGTGACTGGCCTTTCCTGCTGGCTGACCCGCACCAAGTCTTGCTCTTTAAAGACAGTGTCTTACTACATAACTATGCTGTGGTTGTAGCTCAGGATCCTCCTACTTCCAGCCTTGGAATGCCTTGTTATATACATGGGCTGTTTGACAAGTACCTTTTCTGACATGTGAATATCGTACATGTGAGTCTGGTGAATGGTTTTATTATCTACAAGTCAGATACAAAGTGGACATTAACTCTACCTTCTACAATCAGCTCTCCCCGTCAGTTAATTAATCAGTGTAATCAAACAGTAAAATTTATTAGTTAATATTATTTAGCTTATGCGTTTTGATATGGTACTTTAGCACTTTGGTTTTATGAGCTACACTAAATATGAAGTTATAGGCATTTTCAGGTTCTAGATCCTAATTTTTGGGAGCAAAGTTCATAGTTAATGCTTTTTTTAAAAAACCATTTGGAATCAATACCTGATTTATAGTTAGTGTTTACAAGTGAATAAGCACTTACTATATATGTGTATCAGTAATATTTTAAAGCAAAAATTTAATTATGCTTTTGGAGGAGAATGAGTAAGTACCATTTTGGAATCCCATAGGACAGTGGTTCTCAACCTTCCCAGTTCTGCAACCCTTTAATACATCATGTTGTGGTGACCTCAGCCATAAAATTATTTTTGTTGCTACTTCATAAGTGTAAATATCTGTGTTTTCCGATTGTGTTAAGAACCCCTCTGAAAGGGTTTTTCAGTTCCCAAAGGGGACATGACCCATAGGTTGAGTGCCACTGCCATAGGAAAAGAACATTTCAATTTTGTAAGTTAAAAACAATTATAGCTATAGATTCTAGTGACAATTGCTCAGCAATGTTAAATGTGCTGAATGCCAATGAACTCTATTGTGAAACTGTTAGAACATGGCAATTAAATGGGAGCATAAGTAGCTATTTCAGTCATCTTGCTAATGACTGTTTGCCAACAAACTAAGCAGTGGAGCAGATGGATATTAATGAGATCACTTTTGTGAGTGTCCAATTTGCAGAAAAAGTTAAAACATTTGAATTTTTTAAAGCCAAGGGAAAAAACTATAAATGCGTAAAATTTAGACATTTTAAAAGTTAGTTCTTTGAGTTTTTTGAGGACAGGTTTCTCTAGCTTTGTATCCTGTCTTGGCATTTGCCCTATAAAGCAGGCTGGCCTCATTCACGGAGGGCCTGCCTCTGACTCCCAGGAGCTGGGATTAAAGGTGTGAACCACCTAAGTCAGTTCTTAAATTGACTTGTGGCTCTGTAGGTGAGAGTGCTTGCTGTCAAGTCTGAGTGTAGTTCCCAGAACCTATATGGTGGAAGGGGGCAGGACCAGCTGCTGCAATTGTCCTCTTGGTTTGCCATCGTGTGCATGTCCTGTCTCCATCCCCCCAACATGGCAACAACAAAAAATTAAGAATCAATGTCTTTTTATTCATTTGCTTTGTTTTTGTCTGTGTAGATCAAAATGGGCTCAAACATGGCAATGCTGCCTCTGCCTGACCAGTTTAAGAAGTCAGCTCTTTATCTAAAAGCTGCCTTGTTTTTATAAAGTACACCTAGAAAAGAGACCTTTGCTTTTCTTCTGTGTTGTTGATGATGTGTCTAATGTAATTTGGATTTTTATATCTTTTCAGCTGCTGTGCCTTATTGGAGAATCTTTTGATGACTACAGTGATGATGTATGTGGAGCTGTTGTTAATGTTAGAGCTAAAGGCGATAAGATAGCAATATGGACGACTGAATGTGAAAACAGAGACGCAGTCACACACATAGGGTGCGGTTTCTTTGTTCTACCTACCTACTTCTTTGACAGTATTAATTTAACTAAATCTGGAAGTCTTTTTCAACCAGCTTTAGGAATTTGAGAGCTCATATTTTCTTTGTAAGTGTTTTCACGAACACTTAGAAGTTTGGACCCTGTTGATATTGAATGTGTTTATCTTCTGTAAAATGCTTTTGCAGTTGCTGGGCGTGGGTGCTGCATGCCTGTAATCCCAGCACTCAGGAGGCAGTTTAGAAGAAGTTAAATTCTGGAAAGTAACTCTCTGAAATTAGGTCCTTCTGCTCATTTTTGGTATTTTTCCCTGGGAATTAAATTCTGACTTCTGTGCTCATTTTCATGTGTTTCCTCAGTCTTATTTCATAATCGCTTAGAATACATAGATCAAGACCCCCTGAATGTGGGTGTCAGTGAGGAGGCCTAGGTAATCTATTGAGCCTTGGGCAGTAGATCAGTACTCATCCCGAGTATACACATGGACTTTAGACTCCCACCCAACAATGTGAGATGCACTCTTATCCTGAACTCTTGTGGGAAGGGTCTAGGCCCTGCCCTGGATGAAATGACAGACTATGGACACCCCAGGGAGGGCCTCATCCCCCTGGGGAGATGAGGGGATAATGGGGGGTCTGGGGGAGGGCACGGGAGTTGGGGGAGGGAAAGGGAGAGGGACCTGGAACTGACATGTGAAGCAACCTTGTTTCTAACCTAAATTTAAACTGAAAAAATAAAAAATAAAAAAATAGTCTAAAAAACAAAGAATACATAGTTACACAGCTTTTGTTTTTTCTATAGCTTTCTGTTGTTTCTTCTTAGCCTTTCGATGTGCTTCATTCTCTGAAGATTAAACTTAACTCCTTGACACTGATCAGTCTGTCCAGCCATCCGTTTATTTTGAGTCAGGATCTCTGCATACCCTTTGCTGCCCTGGAATTCACTGTGTAGACCAGGCTAGCTTCCAACTCATATCTACTTGCCTCTGCTTCTCAAGTGCTGGGATAAAAGGCATGTACCACAATGCCCAGCCATCTTTTGGATTTTTAAGGGGAGATTTCTCTTAATACTATAGATCAGATCCTCTGACTTATATAGCCCATACTTAACACTGTTTAGTACACACTACATTTGTTCTTAATGTAGTCACAACTAATTTGTGAATTGCATTGTGAAGTTTAGTACGTAGGCAGAATAGAATTCATATGTAAAATAATAATTTTCTTTTTATTTTTTTATTTTTTGAGATAGTGTCTTGCTGTGTAAACCACGTTGGCTTTTTCCTTCTTAATCTCATGGATTCTGGGATTCCAGGCTTGTGACAATATACCCACCTTAGTTTTAACTTTTTAGATAGAGGAATGAAGAAGATATGTGACTATTTCATCATAGGTATTTATAATTATTGATTAGTAATACAAGTGCTGTGAGCTCATGAACTGATCTTGCTTTGTTCACTACTGATTTAATAATAATAACTGTAGTACCCCATACAGACCTGGTGGGATGGTAATATTCACAAAGTATGGCTATGAAAGTAAATGCTAATTTTTAATTTTGCTAGTTATACTGAAAGAAAATGAGCCAATATTTTGTTTTGCTTCCTGTGTGAGCATTTTTCATGTAAAGACTAACATATGATGAATTTATCAAATACTTAAAAAATTTTTTTTGATGAAGAATTAATGACCCTTGTATTCCTTTGTCTTCTAGGAGGGTATACAAGGAAAGGTTAGGACTTCCTCCAAAGATAGTGATTGGTTATCAGTCCCACGCAGACACAGCTACGAAGAGCGGCTCCACCACTAAAAATAGGTTTGTTGTTTAAGAAGACACCTGAGTATTCTCACAGGAGACTGCGTCACGCAATCGAGACTGGGAGCTGAACCAAAGCCTCGTCCAAGCAGAGTGGACTGCACTGAAGTTTGATTCCATCTAAATGTTGCTAAGATATAAGAGAAGTCTCATTCGCCTTTGTCTTGTACCTCTGTGTTTATTTCTTCCCCCCTACCCCCAATTTTTGCTAGTGTGTCCACTATCCCAATCAAAGATTTACAGTATCCGTCACCCAGAACCGCAGATGTGTTCCTGGCCCGCACTGTAACAGCTGGTTAGAATTACTATGATACACACATTTGCCTTTCCACAGTATTTGAAAAAGAACTTGCATTTCTGTTACCTTAGCAGGAAAAGACCTGATTCTGTTCCACTCCGTGCAGGAGCGTGATTTGCTGGTGAGAGTCTGAGTACAGTTTTCTAGCAACCTGGTTTCCTTTCCCAGCATTCTTCTTGCTGTCCTCTTGCTGATGGCTGCTAGAGTTTAATTTATTTGCTTCCCTCCTTGATAACATTAGTGATTCTGATTTCAGTTTTTCATTTGTTTTGTTTTTGTTTTTTCCTCATGTAACATTGGTGAAGGATCCAGGAATATGACAGAAAGGTGGAATAAACATTAAATTTGTGCATTCTTTGGTAATTTTTTGTTTTTTTGTAACTACAAAGCTTTGCTACAAATTTATGCATTTCATTGAAATCAGTGATCTTATGTCTGTGTGACCCCTAAACATAATTGTGGACTATAAAAATGTAACACCATAATTACATTCCTACCTAGAATTAGTATGTCTGTTTTTGTGTCTTTACGCTGTACTTTAACACTTTGTATTACTTAGGGTATTTGCTTTGGTTACAAATGGCTCACGTAGAAAAGCGGTCCCATCCATATTAAGACAGTGTACAAAACTGTAAATAAAATGTGTACAGTGAATTGTCTTTTAGACAACTAGATTTGTCCTTTTATTTCTCCATCTCTGTAGAAGGAATCTGTACTTCATATTGCCAAGGCAGTCTCTTGTGTCTTCTTATAGTGTCTTCCCCATGCACAGCCTAAGTTTGGAGCACTAGTTTATTATTATGTTTATTACAATTTTTAATAAATTGAATAGGTAGTATCACATATGTACTTAAATTGATGTGGCTATCTTTTTTAATAAAGTTAAGGCACAGTTTTCAGTCTTAGGTTAAATAATATACTTCGAATATGTTAAAATTCATGAGAATTGGGATTTTGGTGTATCACCATTTGATAAGAAGTGGCTATAAAACTAATTGTTGACTTTGAGATGTTTTTACTTAAAGGCCAGAAAACTAGCTTAAGGAGAGTATAGGGGAACATATGTTAGTATCTTAGTGTTACTATCTGAATAAAACAGAATAAACAAGTGTTAAGAGCTATTTATATTGGTCAATTGTTGCAGTATGACTTTCTGTAAACTTGAAACCTTGTTCTATTTTTTTCATTGTATCATTTTAAAGCAATTGTCTGCAATGCACAATTGTATAGTTCAGGTCCTATGAAATGAGGTGTGACTACTGTAGAACCAAGGGTGAGCTGAACTACAGTAGCAGAATGAAAATCAGTAGCTGAGAGAAATGCTGTCTCTAAGTGGTTAATTATGAATTCATCCTTTTCACACTGATGAACTTGATAAAGATCCTTCTAAAATAAATAGCGTTGCTTTTATTACAAACTTTTAAGATGTCCCACAGATTGCCAACTGATTGCTTTTGAGTCACAAATAGTCCCTGTTCAGTGTTCTAGAAATAGCAATGTTTATAATCTCAGCATTCTGTACCTAATGTCTACTGTAAGCGTGGGTCATTCAGGGATGTTCCATCTTTTGATATTGCAACATGACGTGATCTGGTTGGGCTGCATTCGTAGCTGTCTTGTGAGTATAAGGCCCAGGTGGGACACCTGGAGGTGATGATGGCATGTGTAGTTATGAAACTGCTGGTGATGAGACTGTTACCAACAAATAGGAGTCTAATAGTTGTATCTATTAGAGATGAATGCTCATATTCCTAGGGTGTAGTTCAATTGTAAGACTATTAACTTTAAGAATTGGAGAAAGAATCATAAAATACAGTTCTAAAGTTGAAAACTTTCAATAGGATGTAATTTTGTAATAGAAAATTGAAATGATTTATAATGGTTGAATCGTAATGTAGCCGGTCTTTCTATTGGATGTTGTTAATTATGAAAGCTTGACCTTTAGCTTAGGCCTGTTCCCAATTAGCTCTTATAACTTAAATTAACCTCTTTCTGTTAATCTACATTTTTCCATGTGCCTTTTTACACCTCTGTTGTGTATGCCCAACTCCATGTCTCAGTGTTGTCTCCCACGTGCCTAGATTCTAACCCTGAGTTTCTACTTGGAAGCCCCGCCTATTCTCTCCTGCCTAGCTCTTTATTAAACCAATCAGAAGGTGCCTTAGGCAGACACAGGTCTTTACAGTTACAAAAAGTTGTCCCACAGCATTGTAATGGACGCATTAATTCCACAGAAGGATTTGGTGTATACTACACAGGAAATAGCCACAACACTTACATAATGCTAATTGTTAAGCAGCGCTGCAGTCACGTCACATGTGCATTGACCTGCATAATATATGGAGGTATCATTTCTCCACTTTACAAAGGAAAGAAACATGCATTAATAGTTAAATAACACGCTTTTGTCAGATGTGACGTGTGAATTTGAGCCCTAGAATTATCTCCAGTGACCCTTAATCACATACTTCCAGAAGAGGAATAGATATAATAGGCTGTAGTGTGTTCTCTCAGTTATATTTAGCTAGTAAGCTGGGCATATAAACATTTTCCATTTTACTGCTTTTGAATGAAGAACCAGCTACATTAATAGCAAATGACCAATGAGGCAAAGTAACAGGAGTTAAAAGTCATCATGGCAAAGTGTTCAGGTTGATAGGAACTGAAGTTCTTGAATGCTGGAATTCACTAAAAGGTTAAAGGGTAAATGGGCTGGCCCGGTGGATGCATTCCTATAATTGCAGAATGACCACAAGTTTGAGGCCAACCTAGGTTACATAGACCACGCCTCCCTGAGTGCTTTCCAAGCACATACCAGCTTCTGTGTATGATTGCTAGTGCTGTCTGTGCTGATGTCCATCTTGTTTCTCAGAGAAGGCCTTACTCAAGTCATGTAGGGGGAGGCAACTGAATGTTCTTCAGCGCTCATCCTCTATGCAAAATCAAGAACACAGGTCAAATTGGTAATTACAACATGAAATACACATCAATGCAATACTACAATAAAGTTTTGAAGGTAGCCTCAGGTTTTTTTTTTCTAGTCCCCAATTCCAAGTATTGAATTCTGATTTTTAATGTTGGACAAAACATGTCCACTTTTCTTGTAGAGGGTAGAAGATAGGTTCTGTGTGCTTTAGTTTTGCTTATTTCAAGGCATTTCTTGACATTGTAACAGATTTCCCTATGCATACACTAGATGTATGTGCGTGTACATGTGGACGTTTTTTTCTTTTGGACACAATCTATCTTACTAGACTTGTTTAATAATCTTGCACATGAAAAGCAGTATTTTTTCTTTGCCCTGGCATGTGTTTGCATTTATCGTTTAGTGCAGTGCTTCCCATCTCTGCAGACCTTCATGAAGGTGTATCTGTATAAGGGAGATAATTTGTTTTGCTCCAACTGTACTAACATCCACATCATGCTAATCCCACTTACAAACCTTCATCTATCATGAGGCATATGTTTCCTCCTTTCCTGCCCACCTCTCGTGTGTGTGTGTGTGTGTGTGTGTGTGTGTGTGTGTGTGTGTGTGTGTGTGAGTGAGTGAGTGAGAGAGAGAGAGATCTCATAGTTTTTGATAGAATGAAGTTACATGTGTTATATGTTACCCTAAGCCTCACCATGCCATGGTTGAGAATACACATTATTTAGGAGTTCCATAGATACAAATCTGCCATGATTTATAGTCTCAAGTAAGGCTCCCTGGTTGAGGTGGCAGTAAATAAATCGGTGGTTCTGCCCAGCAACCCATTTGTAAAAAGGAAAATGCTATCTTGGAATGAATAGTAGATCTTGGTTATTACCTGTTTTAGTTTGTAGGTTTCTTTATTTTCCTATTTTGAACTAGGTTCTACATGGTCCAGAATGGTGTTAAAGTGATTCTCAGCCGGGCGTTGGTGGCTCACCCCTTTAAACCCAGCACTCGGGAGGCAGAGGCAGGCGGATCTCTGAGTTCGAGGCCAGCCTGGTCTACAAAGCGAGTTCCAGGACAGCTTCCAAGACAATACAGAGAAACCCTGTCTCAAAAAACCAAAAAAAAAAAAAAAAAGTGATTCTCCTTCCTGGGCCTTCCAAGTGTACTAGCACACCTATGTTGCCTGCTTTTTGTATGTTTATTTGTCCCTTTTGAGACTTGGTCTCACTTTGCAGCCCTGACTGTCATAGAACTCAGATGTCTGCCTCTTCCCTCAGAGTGCTGGGAATAAAGGCATATTCTATCATGCCCAGCCTTACTTGCTTTGGGGATTGGGGGGTGAGATTCCCTGATTGAAAAATAGTATAGAAAAATGGGGCTTTAATAAGATTTTTATCTCAGCAAGTATATCAATAGTCACCTAGTAATTGTAGTACATCTACTGTCATCATGACAACTCTTGAATATAGCTACTCTGAAATGGCAAAGGGCAATTAAAAGTTGCGTAGTGATATCTCTTCTCAATTTACATGTGATATTGATGGAAATTTCAAGGTACAACTTGTGCAGAAAATACTGTGTCGGTATTGTCTGTCTCCAAACTGGGGGTTTTGGTTCTTTAAAGCTACCTAAAGTCTACATTTCTGGGAAGGTACTTGAATGTCATTTGTCCTTTTCCCATTGGCTGTTATGTATGGAATTTCAACCCTAAAAATTAGAGAATTAGTCTGTCAATGACTGCTCTTCTCATATATTCCCCCATACGGTAGTAGGGATTAATTGTTGTCACCTCTGAAAACAATTCTAATGGACCTGTGTGTTTCAGTGCTTACCATGAACACCAGGCACCTGACTGCTTTGACTCAGACCTGTGATTCCTTCTAAGGTGTCACCAGGTGACGCACACAGAAATCCTTGGGATCCAGGTAGTGCTTTTGGAAACAGTGATAGGAAGTATGATGGCCGGGGTCTGTGCTGTATAACAACCACTTGTATCTATCCTGCCAACTTCTCACTGGACAGCCCCATCTCACGTGCTTGCTGTGTGGTTAGTGGCTGCCCCACACTCTCCAGATAGCGCATTCCACCAGTTCCAAACCAGTTCTGTTGGACAGCAGTGCTGTGTTCTTTCTCAAGTGGGCTTTTGAGGTTTTCAATGACATCGAGTTTCACTTTCAGACAAGTATCTGAAGAGCAGTTTTAGAGCAATTTAGAACTAGGGTTGCTGTTCCTTTTGTTGAGTCTGGTGAGATGTACCTGATGGTTGCTACTGTCTTGCAGAAAAGATGAAAGCATAAAAATTGTTTTGCAAATTTTTTCTCACTGCAAATATTTAAAAATATTTTTGCTTTATGGCCCCAGCTATATATGTATATACTAAAAAGTTATGGAATATAGCATGTGAGTTTTGAGGTTTTCTAGACCAGACTTTCTTCTCTCCTTCCCTTCTGAGTCACGAACTGTAGTTTGAGAAAATGACATAAAAGGTGCCCATGTGGTCATGGGGACTTCGAAGTTGTAAAGAAGTCTAATCACTGGGCTCTGAGGTCTTAGTCTTCTATTTCTGTTAGAGACTCCATGACCACAACATTTCCTATAAAAGAAAGCATTTAATTGGGTTTGCGTACAGTCTCAGAGGTTTAGTTCTTATTGTCATGACAGAGCATGACTGCAAGCAGGTAGACATGGTGATGGAGAAGTTGAGAGTTCTACATCTGCATCAGAAGAGACACTGGGTCTGGCTTGAG